AAAAAAACATTTGCTTATTTTAAAAAATAAAAAAATAACAATTACTTTGTGACAAACTTGAAATAAAAAATTACAGTTTTTTTTAAAAGAAGGGAGAGAATGTACTGTATAAAAAGTTAAAAATTATTTTATTATTCTTTCCTTCTCAAAATAAATATTATTCTTTTACTTTAAGTTTGTCTCAAATTAATTATTTTTTATTTTTTAAAGTTAAACTAATATTTTTCCCTAATTTAATCTTGTAATTATCTATTTATTTTGATTAATTATTCTATCACAAAAAATCTGATTGTATTTTTCAGTTTTTTCCTAAAGATAATATAAGTAAACTTATAAACTATCCTCAAATCTTTAATTTATTTTGTTACAAATAAAATAAAATTTTGTAATAAAAATTTTATTAAAGCTTTTTATAGTGTTAACTTTTCATATTTAATAAAAAATTAAAATTAAAAAAATTAAAAAGAATTATCAAGCGAATCTCACGTTTTGAAAGAAAAGTGTTTCCATTAAAAAACATGAGGAAAACAGATTACCTATATTGAGAAAATAAAGAATAAAATGTCTTTATCATTTATTTACGTTAGTATTAAATTAAAGTATAAAAATATAAAAACATCCCTAACTTTCTTTTGATGAGGGGATGACAACATTTCCACCGCACACATTCTAATTAGGTTTAAATACCATTTTGGTCCCTCAACTTTTCACTTTGGCATCAAAATTGTCTCTCAACTTTAAAAAATATCAAAATTATCCCTAAATTTTCATTTCCAATACCAAAATGGTTTTTCTGTCAGTTAAGTGGACATGTGGCATGTTAAAATGCCACAAAATCATTGGATTTTTTGAATCTTAATGATGTGTAAATCCAATAGAGAAAATTTGGTCACCATGGCATTTTTTTTATACGTTAGATTGTCACCTCCTCAACTTCCATTTTAATGGGACTCACATGAAAATTTGTTTTCTCTTTTTTTAGTTTCAGTCGAATTCACAAAAATGACAGTGTTCTTTGTTTCCCTTTTCATTTTCTTTTCAGATTCAAAGTTCTAAACCTGCTACTTTTGCAAAATCAAAATCAAATTAAGCTTTTATATCACCATGGAATCTGTTAATCAAATATGTTGATTTGGTATTTTTTTATTATTAATTTACAATTTTCCAACCTAAAGAAACAAAAAAAAAAAAGAACTTCATCTTCTTCCTCCTTTCTTTTCCCTACTCATCCTTCTTCTTTCTTTTTCTTATTCTTTTTCTCTCTCTCTTCCCCTTTCTTCCTCTTCTCTAGATTTGGGTTAACTCAGATTTGGGTTTGAGAAAACCTGGATTAATTATAGGAACTATCTTGGAGAAGCTGGGAATTTTTTCTGCTCTTTATAGTCGGACTCAGAGTCTCATATCGTTACAACTTAAACGGGCCTAAAAACTAACCCAATAACAATGAGAAAAACCCTTATCATCAGATACAAAGAAGCAAGGTTGCCATCGTTGCCCTAAACCAGACGCAGGAGTATCTCAACCTCTAAACCTTCCTGTCCCCAAACTCTCGCTATGTTGCTAGCGCCCGTTGTTAAGGCTGCTAAGCTTGAGACTAAGGAGGTTGTTTCTGTCGCCAAGCCCCAAGTATTCCATCTACGAGCCCAATTCTTCATTTTGTTCCCACCTAGGATGCAATTGTGTTAATAACGGCTAGCCTTGAGTAGGCACAACTTTACAAGTGGCAGCTCAAGCGAGCCAAGAGAATGGGCTGGATCGCGGCCTCCACCGTCATTACTGCTATTGGTGCAAAGTGAGTGCACAGAGAGAGCCAAAAGGAAGGTGTAGCTAGTGTTGAAGCTGGGTTGAGAGAACCTAGATCTGGAGAGGAAA